GGGCATCCAGCTCCCTCATCTGGAGACCTTAGTCTTTAATTCAACAGCTTCAGTAATAGTGCTGTATTGCAACTATATTGCAGTGAGTCACAAAGTAGCACATAACTTATTTTTGTGAAATTACAAAAGGACCTAATTTAAGGTTATGAGCTGCAAGATATCCACATGGCTCGTCTACAGAAACGGCTAACGTCAAAGGTCCTAAAATCCTTTCATATAAAGTTGAATTAGTAAGGTAAGAATAATTACAACTTGTTACTTTCAATTTCATCATCTGCAATCTGTGCTTTCCTCCTTTAACACTGTATTTTTATTTCCTGTGTAGCTGAAGGTGTTTGGAAAATTCTACAGGTGATCTGTAGTGAGACAGATCACCTGTCCAAGCAGTTTCTTAGCTCAGAGGCTGGAAATCAAAAACACAGTCTGCATTCACTCTGCTCTGCGTTTCAGTGAGCATTGCAGTAACCAGTTGTCATTACCCAGGTGGGCGTTACACTGATCAAGCACACAGGCTTGCCAGCCAAACGAGACAATGCTGGAACCTAGTAAGTCACAAACATTCTAGTCCCAGTGATCCAGAGCACAATCGACTGAAATCATTAGACCTAATCATAGAATTTAATTGGAGACATAAGAGTAAATATAAATACTACAATGTAATTAACACCTTTATTTTAGCTAACAAAGTGTTTGAAACCGCAGACCTACCTGTGAGGTAGGTTCACCTACCCTATGTTTATTTACCATGCTGGTACTTCGTCTATTTGATACTGACACAGGAAATCATTCAGCCTTTATCAGTTTAATGTCTGCGAATGGCTTTTGTAAGTCGGTTACTGTAAAAGAGCTCGGTTGCATTTTTCCTGTTGCAAAACGTCTGACGATCACCTTCATTTCTAAACTTACAGCAGTGAGTGATGTGGGTGACTCTGTCATGAGATCGACCACAAACATTATCCCGGCAGTAGTCCTTCCTCTTTGCAATTTTTTTTAATTTCTTGAGAACATTGATGGCATATGATTGCATGTCTGTGAGTGCAACCAAGGTTCTTGGTAGCAAATTTACATCATATATTAGTCAGCTATAACCACAAATGTTAAATAAACTGCTGTGTTCCTTTTACCTCAAAGTTCAGATGTGGGAGCTGACAGTTGTTTTAGTAGTAGAGGTAGTTGGAAATGCAAGAACAAACAAGCTTTGCTTTGCTCCATAGCAAGGCAGAGCCTTTCATGCATCACTGGCAATACAGCAATGTTTTTATGGTTAAAAACACATTCACAAATAAAGCATGGTGATAAAATCTGGTCACTGCTCTGTATATGGCTTCTACAGCGAGTGCAAGTTTTACTCGTACGCATGTACACTGCCGCAGTCTTGGATTGCAAAGTCAGGTGGGTGGGGCTTCTCTGACTTGAGTATCAATGTAAATAGAACACAGCCTATGACTCATTCATGAAGTTAACTGTCCCTACTTCTCCTTCTCCGCCTGCCTTCATCACTAAAGAGACAAAAAGCTAAATTTGCAGTGCCAGTCGCAGGCAACTAGCAGCTAACAGCATTTTTTTAAGGTGGAAGTCAATCAACACAATTTAATTATCAATGTGACAGACACATTAGTGATGGTTGGATCAGCTCAACATAAAAAGACAGATTATACAAACTGGTTTATTTTATTTAATCACTTAATAATGATGACATTAATCATCACTTAAGAGTATTTTGGTGAGCTTCTGTAGCTCTACGCTGTTTTTTCTGCCTCTTCAAAGCCCTCGTTGTAGGTTTACTGCTAAGGGGTAAAATCCTTTATGAACAACTCATCTATGACTACTCATATGCCAATCAGTGGCATCCTGCACTCTGACTAATGTTCACTTCAATCACTCACCTTAGTTGAGAAAAGTGAGCCCCCACACCCCACCCCAAAGTTATTTTGCATATCGTTGCTTAAAATTGCACATCTGTAGACTAGGAAACTGTCTGCCTGTCTGAATATGTGCTCTGATTCTAGCGTTGATTATTCTAACTAGATACTTCTATGAATGTATTCTTTTCCATTTCAGGACCATCATACCAAGAAAATTTTCTTCTGTCGTTTCCTTTGTTACATTTCCCAGAATGGCTTACAAAACCATGCGAGAATGTAACTGCAAATTCCCTGAAGCAGCACTGGGAAAATAGTATTCCTGTAACAAAAGCCACTTTCCCATGCTGTTTTTGAGCTTGAAGGCGGAAAAAGTAACCCTTTGTTAAAACTTCTTGTCAGTTGACAAACTGGTGGCTTTGATAGTATCTCTGAGTCCGCAACATGGGTAAGAAGAGGTACTTCTAGGTGGGGAGGGGGAGAGAGTCTGCATTATGCTACCACATCGTGGTAAAATTGCTGACATTTGAGATAAGCGTAAAGTCAATTTCTTTAAATGTCGCTGAGCAAAAATGGTCTCAGCATGAATTGCCACAAAGCCTGTGGTTGGCCACTAATGAGCACAAACAAAACGGTGGTTGAAACTGCAAGAAGCCGTGCAAATGGGTGCTAGCTTGGGCTGCTATTCATGTGTCGATGTAGCATTTGTTGCTTTTTTTTGGGGTTCTCATTTAAAAAATTTGCTCACACTTTGCCAAATTTAGTCAATACTGTTTATACAAACTGTAAGCATGCAACAGCCTGTGCCTCTGTCTGTAATCAAGTGGTGACAACACAGCAATCAGACTACATCCGAGCAGGACCAATATACAGTAGCAGCAAAGGAAAAGCAAATATTTCTTATCTGTTACTCTGTTATGTTTTCCAGTGACTCATTTAAGTCCTGGGTTGTATTCTATCGGGAGTTCTGCGAAATCTTCAAAAGCACTAGCCACTAAAAGCACATTTGATCAAACCTTATTATGGCTAAATTTCTACTCTGGCAAAATAAAAAGGCCAGTGTTATCATCTTATACATCCAGGTGGGATTTAGAGCTGAAAAATAACAGCGGTGAGAAATTGTCCGAAAGCTGACAGAGAAACACTTTGCCTGGTGTGTGAGTGAAGGGATAGGTACAACTGATAAGGGATTGGGAGAAGGATCATGACTCTGACTTCAGCATCTAAACACAACCTGCCTTACCCTGTCACGCTTTGTTCCCTTTCCACGGTCACTATGACAACCTGCTCTTTGGCCAGACCTTTTAAAATTGACTTCAATTTACGATAATGGAGCTGAAAGAAAGGGGAAAATAATTGATATACAAAGAAAGATATACGGCACAATATGTGTCTGCATAGGCTAAACAATGCTGCTTTAGTGCGACACGCTTCCCCCAACACCTCTCCCACCAGCTCGGCACGTGACTAATACATCCACTTCTCCTGCTTCTGCTCCGCGCTCTCCAGTGTGTGTTTTTGCAGGAATAGGAGACAAATCATGCGTGGGCTGCATCAGCAGCACCCCTGCTGGTTCGGGCTCCCCCATTCACCACATGACCGCTCTGCCCGTCACAGGCATTGGCCAGGTAGTGACACATAACCCAGAGCACACAGCAGACTACAGGGTTTACACGGTGCACACATTAAGCTGCCTTATTCTTTCCTTTTGCTTTAACTCGCTCACTGTTTGGGGTCGGAGACCTCACAATAAACTCAAAACCTCTTCATGTACGGTAGGAACCTCTCTTGCAATGGCTTAAAGTCGTTAGACAAGGTCAGGGTTAATGATCGAATATCATTAAACTACATTAACATCCTAATTTAAGCCTCCAAATACGCCTCCACGCTTGGCATACAGAAGCACAGTCTCAGAGCACACAGATGAGTCAAGAAAGTCACACCGAGATTTGTTCTGTTTAAATACAACACTATCAGAAGCAGTTTCTGTGGAGCATTAGCCCCAGGGCAGAGCAGCACACCTTGCGTCCTAGCCAATTTGAAAAAGTCTATTTGTCGACTCGCGGCACGAACTACACTTAATTCTCCACTGGATCCTTGTTTATTTTATACCATAGTTTCTGCTTAAGCTATAGCACTCCTGTTAGAGGTGGAGTATTTGTTGGCTATAACTTCACTGATCTGTGCTCAGGCTCTCAGCAGCAGCACACAGGAAATTACCAGCCAGCGTCACCTTCCAGTTCATTATTTTTAGCCAAGTGCACTGACACAGCAACAGTTTATCTTCTCGACTCAGATGGGCAAAAATTCCCCAAAATGTGGTGTTTTTATTTCTACACCCACTAGCAGGGTGGTAGCCCATCTGAGCGCCGCTGATCACTGGGCCAAAGCTAATGTTTAAATGAGATGTGTACTTGGAGAGGGTTTAATGTCAGCCCTGATGCACGCCATCATCTATTTACTCTCTCCAGTTCAAATGGGTTCTCTCGTAGAGTGGTGCTGCGGAGAGGCTTGTTGTTTCGAGGGGATGACCCAAGAGAACCGCGGAGGTTCGTGGTGCCTGGGATATCGCCATGGCAACATGGTTCAATTAAGAGTGGGATGCCGGCTGTTGAAAACTGAGCGTGCCGAATATTATCTCTTGAAAATTTGCAGCAATTCAAGTCTACACAGGATTATATTTTAAAAATGACTGCCTCAGGTGTGCCAAGGTTTAGGGTTTCCCTATTTTTAGAGATCAATATAAAGTACACTGAGCATGCTTCTTATTCCAGTCTAGCAACAATTAAAAATACAAAACCTCAATGTCATCGACTAAATTGTTTGGAAACAAAGGAAAAACCCAAAACACTTGCCACAAAAATCTTAGACACACATACACTTGCAAGGCATTTATGCAGCTTTTTATCCAAAGAAATTCAACACACACACACACACACACACACACACACACACACACACACACACACACTAAACTGGTTGTCACTCCTGCTCAAAGCTCAGCGGCAGCAGTACATTAGCATGAGTGAAGGAGCCCAACAGCTTTTGTGCCACAGAGTCCAAAGTCCAGCAGATAACAGCCACCGCTCGCACACAAATAAAAGAAAACTAATATAAAGCTGCGATGAGCCCTCTTACCTTGCCGTCTGTGTTGGGCTCCTTCTTTCCTAGATGCTGTCCCATGCTGCTAACAGAGCCTGTAAGAAACACACACAATGAGTTTACACCAGGGGAAGACTGTAAACAGCATATTATGTGAAGATTACGAACTCCTCCTTATTGCAGCAAGAGAGGCAAGCTCCAGATTCAGTGTGAAACTGTAGCTTCACATACAGCCATAAAAAGGCACCGGGGCTTTCCCTCCCTTCCATCTCTTAATGGCAGCAATAGCATTTAAAATGCCACAGTTAGAATTAGAATACCTTCTTCTGGGATTAATAAAGTATGTGGTCACAGTTGCTCCACGACTACCAAAACAATAGCAAATAACAACAAATAGCTCTAATTATTAATATCCCAGTATATAACACAAAACTGAATATATACAGCTGAAACTGAGGCGCCCCTCTTATAAGGGTTATGATCCCTGAATCTGTATTTCAGAGGACACAAGAAAAAAAACACAATACACTGTGTGCATAAAGTGAAAGCAGGCTTTTAATAATTTTCTTATTTTGGTTTAAAATATGATCGCCTAAATCATCTGAAGTCAAAACAAGGGTAGTTTGGAGATGTTGGAAAACTGCCTGTAAGTGAGAAGAATCCCAAAATACAGTAGATACTATTCAATTCATTGTCCTTCCTCTTAAGGGGAAGCCGAACAGCCAAAAATGTATGGTAACAGGCAGGCTAGTAGCTACCTGTCCATTAATGTGATCTTTAAATATTAGATCGCTCTCCACAGTTGCTCCTTCCTGTTATTGCTTTGCTGCAGGGTCTCACATATTAGTCTCATCCTCACCATTATCATCTGACTAAAGGTTTTCTCGCAATGGGGGAAAAAAGGAAAGCATTGTAGGGCTTTCCTTTTCAGATAATCCGATAGGTTACCAGATTCATGTGATTACAGACGACAATAGTTCAGTTAATTCTACAACACTCAAAAGTGAGATTGTATGCGTTTCCCATCACTGTGTTCTTGGCATCAGAAACACACGTGTGGAGTGATTTGAATAGAAACAGTTAGGGGATACCTTAACCGGAGATCAGATCTGTGCATTTGATTTTTGATTTTTTTGAGTGTGCATACAATATAAAAAAGTGACAGAGTCTACACCCCTCTGTTGTCCATGCGGATCTGGAAATCATGCATATCATTGTAACGGGTCAGCTAAAAGTAAGCCAAGTAAACATGTCTAGGCTAATCTTACTGTACTTTAGAAAAGACTAGCGAATCATCTGCCTCCATCTCACCCTGCCCCGAGCATCCACACCAACCCTCTGCATGTCCTCCTCCATGACATCCACAAACCTCCTCTGTGATCTCTCTTTTCTTCCTGCTTAGCAGCTCTGTATTCAACATCAGAATATCCATCATCCCTCCTCTGCACATGTCCCAACCATCTCAGGCTTGTCTCTTTAAACTGGTCTCCAAGATGCTCAACCTGAATCTAATACATTATTTTTTATGAGACATGAGATATTGTAATACAGTAAGCATTAACAACAGTGCAGTGCTTTGTTTCAACAATTCTCCAAACCTCTGGCAGACTCGGCACAGGTGTGCATCTTTGTGTTATAAAGGAAAGGGTTCGTCTTTGAGAACGGATACAACACGTCTATTTATTTCCACAGAGAATGGAAGTGAAACCTGATCAAGAGGAATGAGGCGACACAATGTTTTGCTAAGTGTGCCAACATGTGCACTGCAGCGTGAATATTCTATTAAGCTTAAATCTTAAAAAGCCAAACATAAAAATCACAAGGAAGCCGTGTAAATAACAAACAAATGCAGGAAATAAAGAGCAAAAATAAACTTCTTTAGATTCTTTAAATGTTTAGGTGCAAAAAGGAGGAACGTGATGAGTAAATGAAGGCCAGAAATCGCAACAATTTAAATCTCTGCCTGACACTCACCACTGAAGGAAAAAACATCCAATTACACCAAAAGAATATTCTTACTTTCAGATAATCACAGCATGTACAGTGGGGCAAAAAAGTATTTAGTCAGCCACCGATTGTGCAAGTTCCCCCACTTAAAATGATGACAGAGGTCAGTAATTTGCACCAGAGGTACACTTCAACTGTGAGAGACAGAATGTGAAAAAAAAAAAAAAATCCATGAATTCACATGGTAGGATTTTTTTGGAAGGGTATAAATAATGAAAGGTGTTGGATTGGCCAATTGGTCATGATCGACTCTGGGCTGGACCAATTACAGCCGAGGAGGTCGGATGCACCCTCCCCCTTGTTTAGCAATCTTATAGACGAACTAAAGAAAATGGAGAACAAAAAAGGAAAGGAGGTGCAGAAAAAATTAGGGCCAAAAAGAAACAAGCCCTTCAGGCAGACGCTGCCAAATGTGTAAAAATAACTGAATTGTTATGGCAATATGGCTATGGCATAGCTTCCACAGATTTAGCAACATCAGCAAGTGATGGAGGCCAGCAGGTGGATAAGGGAAAGGGGAGGCAAGAGGAGAAGAGACCCGAGGCGGCCGCCGGTCATAGTGGCAGAGGAACTGAACTTCAGGTAAGAAGTTATGACCTGCTGTCTGTGTCAGATATAAACCAAGTTTAGTTGTAGTTTGTTTTCGTTGTGCTGACTTTTTACAGTCGCTTAGAATAACTGGTACTGCGTACTAGCTAGCATGACGGAGTTTATATACTGCTGGGCGGGTGCTATGTAAATTTTATTTTATGCTTAAGGTTAGTTTCTCAAACTCCTCAAAATCTTAACAAATTGTGCCAATCCTTACATGTTGCACCAGGCTGATTTATCATCTAAAGTGGAGAAGTCTGTGACAGAGGAGACAGAAGAGCAGCAGAGAGAGATGGAGCCAGAGAGAGAAATAAAAGAGCAGGAGAGGGAGATGGAGAGATGACTTTATGTCATCCATGAGGGATGCATTTGACATATGTTTCACATATTATAGCCCAACAAGTTACTTATAGCAATTTAAATACGAGCAATCAGTTTTTGACAAATACCGGAAAACAGTTTTTGGCAGACAATCACTTTTTGGCACAACACCGGCTATTGCAGTTAATAATACAACAGCTTCTTGCCATTTTTTGTGTTTTTTTTTTAATCGCTGTATTGAAAGCCTGCACGCGCTAGTACCTCTTGCCACAAGTTCCCAGAATCCTTTGCGGTTTTACCCCTTAATGACGTCACATTTTTGGTGGGCCGGTCTCTAGTCAAAATGCCCGGGCCGATTATTTGTCCCAGTCCAGCTCTGGCGGTGTGGAAAAGTGCTGTCAGCATTGTTCATGTGGAGGGAAAAAAGGAACGGTAGTGTGGTTTATTGATGGTCTATTGATAGTCAAGGAGAGAATCAAAATAAAAAAACCAAAAAAAGCCCTCAAGGAATCTTCATTAATTCAAGATTACCATGTGTGTCAGCTGTATTATTTAAATTTCACATGTATTGACATGCTCACATTCTGTACTGAGAGGTCAATCAAGCAATTGAAGGAAAAAAAATGATTGAGCTTTTAAACAATAAAATACAAAACAAAAAACACAAAACAAATCAATACAGCACATTATGCAAGCACATTTAAATGCCATGTTTGCTTTTTGCAACGGTCAATCCAGGTTAACTAAATATGAGTTTCCCCTGTGCCTGCACTGGAAAAAAAATATCACCTATTGAAAGGTGTTATTATATTCACTGTCATCAGGAAAGAGAACGTCGATTTAATGCCAGTAGCAGCATCACAGTGGTTTGGCTTTTTATTTAGGAATGAGTGTAGTTAAATTGCAATAAGCTTAGAAAATGACTGGAAACCATAAATAATATAGCTCACAAATCTATACCCAGTGGAGCGAAATGAGCTTTTTCAATTGAAAAGTGTTTTGTAAACAGCTATTCTGTGAGCTTGAGTAAATTTCACCAAAAATTGCAATGTAAAAAGGGAGAAGGTGAAAAGTAAGTTTGCCCTGTGTAGTAATTGAAATCTTCTTGTGATCAGAACAACTTGTAAATACAACCTAAGCTTTAATAGTGAATGTTGATAAAATCATTTGTCTCTTTAGCGTTTAAATTACAAGCTATTTGCTAAAGCAGTATTAGCAGCTAGTTCCAACATCAAAACAAAACAGATCTAAACACTTTGTATGCTAAAATTTCACTTCAAGTATTCTGTGGGCTGTTAAAAATCCTCCCAATCATGTGGCTAATATAAGCTGAACACTAGAACCACCAGTGTGGTCATTTCGACCTCATCCTGCAACAACAGCAGCAAAGGCAAACAAAAAACAAAAAACAAAAAACAACATCTTAAAAGAATTAAGTTAATGTAATTAGTTCAACCATTTTTTTTTCTGATTATGAGTAACTGATATATTATTTCATAGGCAAAAATATTATCAAAGGATAGAACATCTAATTTAATATTACAGAAGAATATTATAGAAAAGTAAACAATCCGCTTCCTGTTTACTTGCTAACTGAAACTTAGCTCTAAGCTACAGCCCTTTTATGAAGAGAATTTCATTCGAAATACAAAGTGGTTGTTTAAATAAGTTCTAACCATCCAAATCAGTTTGTAAAAGTTGAAATTAAATCAAATTCATTTCTTGAAGCTATTTTTTTTTAATAAGCCAAAAAGATAAAGCAGTTAGCCAAATCATGCTAACACAAGAATTCTAAAGTCAGAGCACCACTTTCATTTACCACATTTGTCACGTGGATAATACAAAAATGACAGTTTTAAATATGCCGTTAGAAATCTTTCCTACAACAACTACCGCACAAAAACTTAGAGGGAATGAATATAACATAAATAACATGCTAGTTGCACTAGAACCAATAAAAGACGACGAGGTGAACCGCACTTTCTGTCACACGATGTGCTTCATACAGTGCACCTCTATGCCATGATAAACACCTATGGACAGTCTCTTTCTGACCATCATTAGCTCCAGCTAGACTTGAATTATAAAGTTTCTGAATTTTACAATGAATAAGCATTCACAACACATTCTTTGCTGAGAGCTATGTTACTTCTTGCCTGTTTAAACAAAACTGAAA